CCTCAGGCTGCCGCGCCAGCCCTGGTTCTTGGGACCCCGGGGGTAGCCCAGTGTTCGAGGGCCGGGGCGCGACCTCTGGGATTTAGGGGGGCGCCCCCCACCCCCAGCCCGCTGGTCTGGAAAGTTGCCGGCCGGCCCGTCAAGGGCACTCAGGAAGCTCCGGGCTGCTCGCTCAGCTCTCGGATCTCAGCGCCCGGCAGAGGCTGTCCTGCTGCTCTGGGAAGATGCTCGAACACGTTGGGGGCCAGCCCGCACCCCTGGGGGCCCCCAGGCCGGCAATCAGACTTTCTCTTCTCCTCCCTCAGCCTCCTCTGTTGTCTGTCCTGGATGCAAATTTATGCTACAAAATCCAAGCGCTGAGGTCGCAGAAACTTGACCCACTTGGGACTAGGGAGGGGTGGGAGGGACAGGGACTGACATCTGACCTGGGTGCACATTCTCAAACCCGGTTTAATTGCATTTAATCCATTTATTGTCTTGGCCAGCTTGACTTCTCCGAGACCCGCCCTTAGATCTCCACTGACTACTTCCTTCCCAGACTCCCCTTGTCCCCCACCCCTCTTTGGGTCAGTTGGGGTGTGGGAAGCTACTGTAAAGTCTCTGTGCTCTGGCAGGAGGCTGGTGTGCATTGGGGGAGGGGTGGCGCCTTCAGACCACACTGTGCAGACCCCGGCTTTGTGGTCTGAGCCATCACCTGTGCGAGATGTGACATTTCCTATGCCGCCAGAGACTAGCTGCATCTTCCTTGAGGTCTCCCGAGGATTCAGTTTGCAGCCAGGCTGCCTCTAGACTGTGGGAGCACTGGACAGGAGGCCTGGGTTCCAGCTCAGGGGCTGCACTAAGACCCTGCATGACCACGCATCGTGACCATCTTCATCTCTGGGTTTTAGTCTGCCTGTGTTGTGTTGGAGGCATGGGTGGGCCCTGTAGTAGGACCTGGAGATTCCAATTTAAGGCACCGGCAGGTGGGGTGGGGTGGGACGGTGGCGGCCCTTGGTGGTAGGGACCAAGGACAGCTGCTCCGCTGTCCAGTAGCTCAAGTTCCCTGACACTTGCTGACAACACCATCTCCCCTGGCTCAGCCCTGGCCCTGGATGGCTGCCCTTCCTGGAAACCTTAAGGAGTGGGTTGCTCCACCTGCCTGCTCTCGGTGAGTCAGCTCCCTCAGGCCACTACTGGCCAGCTGGCTTCCAGGGTGCCGAGGCTGCAGATCCTGACCTGAGAGCTCTGGGCATGAGGCCTCCCCGGCCCCTCAGCTGCCCTGGCCCTGCCATGGCGGCCATGGCTTCCCCATTCCTGGGTGGACTGATGGCTCCGATGTGCTGGGCTGCTGGGCTCCCAGGCTTCATTCACTCCACGCCTTGGTGGAGATGTGTTTCCTCAGCTAAGGATCCTCAGGCAATACAAGTGGGGAAACTGAGGCTCGGGAGAGTCTGCGCGGCCTAAGGACAGGTCATGAGGCAACAGCAGAGCAAGATCCACTTCTGAGTCCACTAACTTGGAGGCAGTGGCTGTCTTGGAGGGGCCTCCATTGGTGCCCAGGACCCAGTGCTCTCCAGCCCTGCGAATCTGAGGCACACCCTAGCTCCTGGACAGTCCCCAGGCATCCTGCCTCGGACAAGGGCTGGCACCTCCGTCCTTCTGCCCTCTCCCTGTTCCTGACTTCTCAATTCCCCCCTCTAGGCCTGAGTCCCCTCCACAGGGCATCAGACAGTGCCGTTAGGCCCATCAGTCTGCCCTCTGCAATCTTTCCTCTTTCCTCTCTGCCCTCTGGGTCCTCTCTGCTGTCATCCCCAGAGTCCACAGGGGTCTACCTCTGTCCCTTGTGATGCACAGATGGGAACCTGAGGTTCAGCCAGTGGGAAGGAGTTGCCCTGGTCACCCCCCAGAGCCAAACTATCAGCCCTGGCTTCCACTGCTACCCCAATGCAGCTCCCCACTCCTGGTTACAGTGGCAAAAAGGGGAGAAGTGGCTGCCCCTTCCAGCTGGCCTCATCCCTCCATCCTCCCCCACCCCAGAGCTGCCACTTACCTGGGGTGGGGGTGAGGGCTGGAGCCTGCACTGGAAACAGGGCTGGTGGGAGGTCTGGCGGGAAGTGAGCCGGCCAGTGGGAGGACCACTTAAATAGGCCTCTGCCCTGGCTATTTTGGGAGGCGGCGCTCCCCGCTGACCCCACCCCCCGCCAGTGTCAGGTACTCCCCAACCGTGGTGCTGAGTGTCTGTATCACAGTCACCCTTCCTGGGCCCACTGAGCCAGACCTATTAATAACCTTTGGCCCCGCTTTCCTCCGGCACCCAATGTTGAGGCCCAGGCAGGGCTTGCCTCCTCCACGAAGCCTTCCACAATGACTTTGGGTGGCAGCAATGTTTCCTTCCTCCAAAGCCTGCAAAGAAGGTTTTTTTTTGTTTGTTTTTTTTTTGTACTGGCGATCAACTTATGACCTTGTCATTGCAAGGCAGGCGGTGGAACCACTGAGCTAAATCTCTGGCCCCAAAAGTCTGCAAAGAAAGGAAGAGAAAAGGCCAGGGAAAGAACGGGACAGCTCCTGTCCCACATGTGAGGGCTAGGGCAGGTCCTCATGTGACACGCTGTCCTGACTGCAAGCTTGCAGCACAGGTGGGGAGACAGGGGGAGATGCAGGGCATTCAGGGTCCTCCTGTCCCCGGCCATGGTCTGGGAATGGGAGAGGAGCCTGCACTTTCACACTTTCCTTCTGCCCGAGGGACAGAGTCTGTGTGTCCTCAGACTGTCCTTCCTTTGTGTCTTAGGCTCTCACCTGTGCACCGTCAGGGGTCTGCCACTAGTTTGATTCATTTCACCTGGGCTTTAATGCCAGATAATGATCTGTCAGCCAGGTCTGTTTTGACTCTGATGACTCCGATGGCAAGGGGTGGTTAGTGACTCCTGCAACTCATGAGAAGCCCCCACGTGCTCAGAATGGCCACCCTGAGGCCACAAGAGGACAGTCCCCTGCATCGCCCAAGCGCAGTGGGGAAGGGGGAGGCCTGGTGGAAGCCTGACCTGAGGCTGCGATTAGCCAGGTTGGTCCCACATCGTCCCCACACTGGCCACTGTCATGATCGGCCTTGTGGGGGCGCTGTCCCTGAGGGCCTCCAGGCCCTTACCTTCAGAGCTCAGGAAGCAGTCATGGAGGTGGGGCTTGGGGTGCTCAGGGGTACCGGGCACGAGTCCTCTGTGAGTTTGGTGATTGTGTAGATACGCTTGTGAGAACGATTCTCTCTGAGACCCTCAGAGGTCTTCCTGGCCTTGAGACCCCAGCTGCCCTCTGCCCGCTGTGGAACCTAAGGGTCAGCTTAAAGGTGGCAGCAGAGCCTGGTGGAATTTTCCATTGTAGAGATTTCAGTTCTGACACAGGCCAGGTGCTGAGCAGGTGGGCAGATATTACTAATTGCCTTCTTCTGTCTCTTGGGTCCTAATATTTTTCATAGCCATCTGCTGAACATTTCCATATAGTGCCAGCAATGTATATGTTACCACTGTTTTCTTTTTACAGATGAGGAAAACTCGGGTTCAGAGAAGTCAAGCCACTTGCATAAGGTCACACAGCATGTCAGGACCAGAGCCCGGTCTCTCTGCCTCCACTCAGGTCCGAAGCCTGCTCGGGCCTCCCAGCTGGTGAACGAGTGGAGGCCAGCATGTGTGGGTCAGCAGTCTGTGCCACCGTCTGCCAGGAGACGGACACTCAGCTGTTAGCTGATATTTCATTAGTTCACACTATTTCCACCTGCTGCAGCTGGGAACAGGATACAGGGCTCCTCACATCCAGGGCCTGGCGGGCTGGGCGGATGCTGCAGGATCTCATATTTATGCGGTGAGCCGTGTGGGATGACGTGTATTAACTCGAAAGAATCTCTGCCCCTTTCCTGAAAGCCTGGTCCCCAGGCTGCAGCCTTGCTCCCCACCCAGAGGGGGGCCAGAGGAAGGGTTCTGGGGAAGCTGTAGTAGGCATGCACAGCTCTGGCTCCCACCTGGCTCTGCTGCTTGCCCCTGTGCGACCTTGAGCCAGTGACTTTGCCTCTCTGGGCCTCGGTTTCTCTGTCTGTGAAGCCGACCTAAAGAAGCAGCTGGGATGGGTCTTGTCTGGGAAAGGAGTCGAGCTACAGGTCCTAGCCCACTGGCAATCGGGACGGGTCTCATGGGGGAATCTGCACTTGGACCCATCCTGCCACTGACCCAGAGGACCTGCAGCCTTCTGGGCTGGCACACGGACAGCACAGTGCTGACCCCAGCCACCTTCTGCAGGAAGGTGTGCAGGACCAGGACAGGGACTCCCAGGAGCCACACCAATGAGCACAGAGGACAGAGAGGGCACAGGCTGGGCCAGGAGTGGAGCTGGACAAGGCCAGGATGAGGGGCCGGGGATGAGGAGCCAGGTACAGGAGCTCTTGGCACCAGGGTTTGTGTCCCTCCCTTGCCTCCTACCTGTCTCTGGTGTCCAGGGAAATGGGAGACCCTGATCCCATGGGGCTGGAGCTGTAGAGGGGATGAGGCAGCGTGAGTCCTGGCTTCGGGACTGGAGGGTGGAGTGGGGGCGCAGAAGGAGCTGACAGCGTCACCTGGGGCCCTGCTTAGATCCCCGAGGGGCCACAGGCTGCAGAGGCAGGTCCAGCACTCTGACTACCTCATTCTCCCATGCCCCCGTCCCCTCTGACCCATCACGCCACACATCACATCCTGAAACAAGACACAGGAAGGTCACTGAAAGAAGTGTGTGTGTGTGTGTGTGTGTGTGTGTGTGTGTGTGTGTGTAGTATTGTGAGATGATTACATGGTGGGAGTGCATTCATGTGTGCCTCTGTGTGTGAGGTGTGTGTGTGTGGGCGAGTGTGTCTTGGTGTCTGCACGGCACGTGGGTGTCTGAGTGTGTCATAGTGTGGTGTGTGAGGCATGTGTGCATTGGCCAGTCTGCCTGTGTGTCTGTGTGGCGTGTATGTGTTGATGTGTGTGTCCGTGTAGCACACACGTGTGGTATGTGCTCTGTGTGGTGGGCGTGCATTTGTCGGGGGGAAGAGGATGGGTCTCCAGGAGTCTCTCCAGTGCCCCGTGGTGCCCATGTCTGGCACCCTGGACAGCTGGCACTGGCCCTTTCTCTTGAGTGGCCGAGGTGCACCATGGTCCCCTTGCATCCTCGCCAGCAGCAGCATCTGTGTGCCAACCCTGAGCAGGTGAGAATGTCCTGAACTCTGCCCAGCAGAGGGGCGAACGGAGGGCTCAGTGCTAAGCATCACTAGTACCGGGCACTACGGGCCAAGTCGTGGTCCCCAAAACTCCTGTGTGGAGTCCTAAGCCCCAAGACCTCAGAGGCTAATAGGAGACAGGGTCTTTACAGAGGGGACTAATTTAAAACGAGGCCACACGCATGAGCCCCAGTCCAGTCTGACCGGTGACCTAAGGAGAAGAGGATGTTAGACTCAGACACAGATATGACCGAGAGGTCGTGTGAAGACACAGGGAGAAGCTGGCCTCATTCTGGCCTCGGAGAGAGGCACTGAAGACCCCGTTCAAAGCAAAACACCTGTGTTTCCTTTCTTTTGGAAACTCCTTTATAAAAGTGATTTATAGAAACAATGGAAACTAGAGAGGCTAAGGAGAAAGGGGCATCACCATGGGCCATGGCTACAGTTCATGTGACTTTTGCTGTTAGAGGCCGTGCTCTCTCCCACCCACTGGTCTGTCCACCTGCTCACAACCAGGTGTCACCTCCTCTGAGAAGTCCTCTGTGTTCGTTCACCGCCCTCCTACCCTCCTGCATTCTCGTGTGTCCTCTTGGTGTTTCTGAGGGCTGTTTAGTGGGGACTTTGAGGCACACACAGGCATCCAGCCTCTCTCCAGGATGGACTCCAAGGAGAATAAATCAAACCGAGGCTGTTATTTTTGGTAATGCAGACACTGGGGTTGTTCTCTAAAACATTCTTGGATACCTACTTAGAATGCTGTTGAAATCCATCCATTCACCTGCCCTTCAGGAGCACCTGCTGGTGAGAAATTACTCTTTCAGAGCCTGTGGCTGTCCCTCGGGGCTCTGAACCCCAGGAAGCCAGGCTGGGAAAATTTGCAGCAAATCTTCCTCGTCTTCACCACATCTTGGTGTCCTTCTGGCCAGTGGGATGGGGCTTGTTGAAACCTGGTGTGAAAAACCTGCTGGATACAGCAGTGTGCTTTCAGGGTGTCACTGGACCATTTGCTTCTTATGAAATATTTACTGCCTCCATCCTGATTCTGGGACAAATTCTACTGCAAAAATGTTTACTCTTAGAGGCTGAATCAATTTGAAAACCCAGTGGTTCCCATCTGGCTTCAGTTCTGCCTAGGAACCTGCAGATCAAGTTTGTACCAGGGCTGAGCTTGGCAGAGCAACCAGCATGGCAGCCTCCCCTCCCCTCCCCACTGCTCTGCCCTCCCCCATCTTCTTCTTCCCCTCCCTCCCCCTCCCCCTACTTCTGCTGCACCCCCTAACTTTCTCTCTCCTTTATTTCTCCTTTCCTTTGAGTCTCTTTGACTGGATTTTCTTTTCCCCAAGACTCAATTATGAACCCTTATCTTATAGTTCTGTAGGATTGGGGTGCCCCTAGTCATCAATCCCACATCTCAATTTTTTATGTTTTCTTTGTATTTTTTAAAAATTTTTTAAAAACGTCAAATAATGTACAATTTTACCATCTTGATCATGTATAAGTCAGAGTCCAGCACTCTGGGAGGTTGAGGCAGGAAGATTACAGGTTTGAGACCAGCATGGACAACTTAGTGAGACCCTATCTTAACATAAAATAGAAAACAAAACAAGAAAGGGCTGGGGATATAGTTTTCTGTGAAGGCCCTGGGCTCAACCCCAAACAGACAGACAGATAGACAGACAGACAGACAGAGTTTATTAGTGTTAAGTATATTTCCATCATTTATCAACTGTCCCGCTTTGCAGAGGGGCAGCCTGAGACTAAAAGAAGCTATCACAGGTCCTGGGAAAATAGCAGAGGAAGGAACCACACCCAGACCTCTGGACCCCACATCTGGGACCCTGATGCAGGACAGCACAAGGCAAGGTGGGGAGAGCAGGGGA